AAAAATTGACACTTATGACTGGTTTTGTGGTCCAGGGTCACATATATATTAAACAGATTTTGAATGCCGCTCATGTTCTCACAGGCTCCTCCCACTGCTACAACAGACTCCTCCCCTTTCCTCACTGACCACGCCCCCTGCTCTTACAGAACTGATTCCACTGCAGTGAGATTCCCTTAAAAATCCACAGCTGTTTTTCCATAAACGTGGGGAAAAACTAGCCCTGCGGGGTCTCAATCCAGGAACTCTGTGTATATACAGTATATTAGACACACGTGTTTGTGTTGCTGCATGTCATCCAGCGGATGCACAGATCAGAGTCCAGTGTTTGTTCTCCTCCTGACAGATATTTTGATGTTTCCTCCTCACAGGACGCCTGATCTGGACGCGTCTGGACCCACACCAGTGTGTGTTTACATGCGAGACGAGGTGAGACCAGCGCTTGATCTCTATTAAAGTCAACATCAAATCACAATGACTTCATTTACTGACTTATCACTCGTTCCTGCGGATCTTCTGAAGAAAGAAGTTCAGATAGATTCCAAGAACAGGTTTCTGCGGGTCTTGAAAAGGTCTTAAACTTGCCTTCATCAAACCTGCAGAAACTCTGAAGAAGTTCATAAGAAGTTATACATATTTATAAAGATTTTTTTAACATTCTCTTTTCCAAGTTGTCTCAAAACTTAACAAAGTGCACTTTTTTATGATAGATTGCATATAAATCTAACATATTAGTACATAACACAAAATGGTTTGATAATTTATTGAATTTTTATTTATTTTTTTATTTTTTTTCGAATACAAAATATGTTGTTCTCTTAATCCGGACGATGAAACGAACCATAAACGTTCCGTGGATGCATTTCTCATTAATATGCTGTGGATTAAATTGCCGTATCATGTCTTGTTGTCGTTGTGTAGGTCAGCGGTGAGGATGCGCTGAAGAAGACGACTCTGAAGTCTCTGGGTCTCACCGGAGGAAGTGCTATCATACGGTGAGCTGTTCGTCTCAGCGGTAACATCACGTGATTATGATGATGATAACGATGGCGTTTCTGTTCATTAGTTATGTGCTGAAAGGCTCTGGCTCCTCGTGTCCTGGTGTATCTGTGGATGCGGTCGCTATGCCAACGGATGCTGTTGCCAAGACAACCGTATCACAGCCGCCTCCAGAACCACCCGAGAAGCCCGCCCCTGTTCCCATGAAAACCCCGGCTCCTCCCACTGAGGTCGCGGCGCTGCTGAACCATCATCCTGTCAAACAGGAAGAGGAGGAGCCGAAGGCGAGCCAGGAGCAGGCAGTGCGGCCCAAATCTGACCAGCCGCCGTCCAAACTAATGCCACAAGAGGACGACGAGCGACCCGGGACGTCACAACAGTGCCATGGCTCCGCCCCCTCAGCCACGCCCACTAACTTTGTGCCATTTTCGGGAAGCGGACAGCGTCTGGGAGGAACTGCTGGACTGAAGATGTCCACGTCATGGTCCTCATGTGTGTCCGGCAGCCCACCGAAAGCCAAGAAACCCAAACCCAGCCGTGAGATCAAGGTCTGTTCACTTCCTGTTTCTTCATTTGCTCTCACACTTTTTTTGTTTTTTTTGGCTTTTTCATTACAGGAATAAAGTTTGGAATCATTAAGATTTTTTATGTTTTAAAAAGAAGTCTCTTCTGCTCAGCAAGGTTGCATTTATTTGATTAAAAATATAGTAAAAATTGTGAAATATTATTATGATTTCAAACAGCTGTTTTCTATGTGAATATCTGTTAAACTGTAATTTATTTCTGTGATGCGCAGCTGTATTTTCAGCATCATTACTCCAGTCTTCAGTGTCACATGATCTTCAGAAATCATTCTAATATGCATTCAAATATTGTGCAGCACAACTGTTTTCAACACTGATTTCAGAAACAAAATCCTAATCATTCCAAACTTTTGAACGTCTCTGCTTCTTCTCACAGGTTTAGTGTTTGTTCTGCTCTGTTGATCGTTCTCTAGTCGTCACTCAGATGTCTCTCTCTCAAACTAAAGTGTTTGTGAATGTGTTTGATCAGAGATCAGTCAGCGCCAAACAAGCGACGAGGGACGAAGAGGAAACAGACAAATATCTGGAGGTAAAAACACACTGTCTTTCTTATGATATTGCATCTATATGTCAGATCCCTGCATTTTTTTAGTTATGTATTATTTATATTAAGGCTGGGCGATGTGACCAAACCCTTATTTCAACCCTTTATCTCTGTTATTAAAAATGTGCATAAAAATGCAAATAAACATTCGGAAAAATACAATATAAAAAAAGATACAAATTAAATGTATATTTGGTCTATTTAATAATAGCTTTCTGTGGAAGGCATTTTCTGCCCGTTTTAAATACATTGTTTAAATGATAAAAATTCAAACCTGAAAATATGTGCCAAAAATGAAAATCATATTAAATTATTTTTAATTTAATTTTCCTAATGACAGTGCATCGTTCCTGTCAAAGAAGTGATTTGAAATTTCATTTTCACTACAGTTTTAATGCAAGGCTGTCAATTTAATAAAGTGAAGAAGCACATTTTTCTTTTTAATTTTCTTTTTTTCCCCTTTTTTTCACAATTTGCATTTATGTTTCATATAGATATAAATTAAAGCTACATAGAAATATTAAAAAATTAAATAAAAATGGCAAAAGCACATAGTAAATTACTAAAACTTAAATAAAAAATTTAATTAAAAATGTTAAATATAAAATAAACTAATTCAAAATATTAATAAATACTATAATAGTATATAAATAATAATAATAAAAATAAGTAAATACTAAAAAGTAATTAGGACTGTTGTTTTTTATTTAGTTCTTCCCTGTATTTGCATTTGTTTCATTTTCAAAGTCAACCTGTATGCAAATCATATGTTAATCAGTAGGTGGGGCTATTTTTATGCTTAGGGTTAAAGTTAAAATACTAAACGAAAATTAGAAATGCGGCAACTTGCACTAAATAACACTTTTTTTTGTTGTTGTTTTTTTCCAAGCATGTTCTGTTTTATTTTCTCATTCATGCGTCTGTCTTTATCACTCTAGCGTCTCAGTTAAGCAGTTGTGTAGCTATATGAGTCCCTGCAGCACAAAAGCAGTCATAAGCAGCACAGGTATATTTGTAGCAATAGCCAACAATACATTGTATGGGTCAAAATTATAGATTTTTCTTTTATGCCAAAAATCATTAGGATATTAAGTAAAGATCATGTTCCATGAAGATATTTAGTAAATTTCCTACTGTAAATATATCAAAACTTAATTTTTGATTAGTAATATGCATTGCTAAGAACTTCATTTGAACAACTTTAAAGATGATTTTCTCAATATTTAGATTTTTTTGCACCCTCAGATTCCAGATTTTCAAATAGTTGTGTCTCAGCCAAATATTGTCCTATCCTAACAAACCATACATCACTGGAAACTGAAATCTTTCAGATGATGCATAAATATCAATTTCAGTAAATTTGACACTTAAGACAGTAAATTTCACACTGGTTTTGTGGTCCAGGGTCACATATTTGCATACAGAGACACACGATACAGCATAATCTCCATTGATAGACACTTTATATTATCTGTAAAACATATTTATACAATTCCCTACAGTTCAGCTCGTGATTAATCAGTGAATCGTGATTAATCAGTGACCCGCGATGAATCGGTGAATCGTGATTAATCGGTGACCCGTGATGAATCGGTGACACGTGATGAATCAGTAAATCGTGATGAATCAGTGACTCGTGATGAATCAGTGACACGTTATGAATCAGTGACACGTGATGAATCGGTGACACGTGATGAATCGGTGACACGTGATGAATCAGTAAATCGTGATGAATCAGTGACTCGTGATGAATCAGTGACTCGTGATGAATCGGTGACACGTGATGAATCCGTGAATCGTGATGAATCAGTGACTCGTGATGAATCAGTAAATCGTGATGAATCAGTGACTCGTGATGAATCAGTGAATCGTGTGTTTGTGCAGCCGGTTGACAGGGAACCGCTGGTCTTCCATCTGGACTCCGGAGCCCGTCGACATGATGACGCAGAGCTTCCTGACGAGTTTTTTGAGGTCACCATGGACGACGTTCGGAAGAGATTCGCGCAGCTGAAGAGCGTGAGGTGAGAATGTACAACACATTTGATAGAACGAGAGTGTGTGATTGACGTGTGAAGTGGCCAATCACAGTAGCAGTGGTGTCATTGTTAACTAAAACTATAAATGTATATGTTTTTTTTAAATTGAAGTAAAGCTGAAATAAAATAAAGTATAAATATTCAATGTGAATTTAACTTAAAAAAAACTTGGCAACTTGTTGCCTTGGCAACTAAATGAAATTAAAAAAAATTTTTAAAAACTGAAATAGATATAAATTAAAGCTAAATAGAAATATTTAAAACAAAATGTCAAACGCACATCCAAAATTGCTAAAAATAAAAATGAAAATATAAAATAAACTAATTCAAAATATTAATAAATACCATAATAGTATATAAATAATAATAATAAATAAATATAAGTAAATACTAAAACGTAATAAGGACTTGGTTTTTTATTTAGTCCTTCTCTGAATCTGGGTTAAAACCATAAAAAAAGACAAAAAAAATCATCACTCTTTTTACTCTTAACTGTTTTAATACATTTTAAATGAAGTTTTAATCATTTCATTCTAATCTTATTTCATTTTACCTAATTTATTTTCTCTCATTTTTACTCCTTACTTTTTGTTTTGTTTTTCATTTCTTATGAAACTTGTTTAATAACTTTTCTGTAAAGCACTTTGAATATGAAATGTGCTGTATAAATAAACATGCTTTGCCTTGAAATAAATTATATATAATATAATTAAAATGTAATATATCATATTTTAATATATTTAGTTGTTTATAATATATTTTTATAAATATAATATTTAATGAAGTTACTAGTGCTAAAATAACTAAAATGAAATAATCTAAAACTTAATAAAAACTATATAGACATTTTTTAAATCATCAACTAATAAAAATGACAAAAGTACTAAAATGAATGTAGAAAATATTTTTAAAATCGAATTTCAAATATTAACAAAAACTGTAATAGCATCTCGGTGATACTAAAATACCACGGTCCAAACTTTTGATCAGAGTAAATAGTTTATATTGTTTATATACAGTGTCGTTCTGTTGTTCAGCTGGTGTTTGATCATGTTCTTATGACAGAGGTCAAGCAGAAGGTCAGAGGAGGTCGTGACCTTTGCCCTCTAACTCCTCAGACAGTTTCATTTCTGAGCGTCAGTTATTGTGACTAAAAACACAGCGCTCCGCTATCAGTCATTTCAGATCTCTAAAACAGACATTTCAAATACCATTTCAGTCTTTCTGCTTCAAAATGTTATGTTTAATTTGATGTGTTACTTGCCGTTTCTTTGTAATCATTAAATTTAATTTTTGAGTGAAATTTTTCAGTGTAGATCGTGTATTTTTTGAGTCGTTTCAGTGTAAATCGTATACAAAATTTTTTCAGTGTGTTTTGTGTGATTTGTGTTCTTTAGTTGTATGAAATATTTTAATTTATTTTAATTTTTTTATTAATATTTTTATATTATTTTTTGTTCTTTTCATTATGTGTAGTTGTTTAAAATGTTTTATTTTATTTTTATTTTATTATTTTTTCTTTGTTGTGTTATGTTTAGTTGTATAAAATGTTTTACATTTATTTATTTATTTATTCTTTATGTTGTGTTTAGTTGTATGAAATGTTTTAGGTTTATTTTATTTTAATTTGATTAATTATTTTACTATTTTATTTAATTTCAGTAAACCTATTTAATTTCAAGTAACGAAAATGTCTTTTTTTAATGGTTTTTCATTTTAGTTTCAGTTTTAGTTGTAGTTCACTGTAATAACCATGAGTTAAACTGGTTTAAATGGTTTCTTGTTGGTTAATAAGGTACAGTTTCAAACCGTCTTATTTTACACTGTAACAAAACTTTAAAGAATCTTGCACAATCCTCTTTTACTTTTTTAAAAAATAATTTTTCATACTAACCACAGTTTTAGTGTATTAATAATAAGAAAGTTATTTACATAACTTAAAATGCAACCTAAAGGGTTTTACAATTTAAAGGAGTAACAGGTATTTTAGTGAAACTGTGGTAATTCTCATAGATCTGAATGTTTCTGATGTGTTTATTGCTGTGTGAAGCAGATCTTATCTCTCATCTCAAATATTAAAGGGGTCATATTATGCTTTTTCACTTTTTCAACTTTAGTTAGTCTGTAATGTTGCTGTGACCTGCCGCCCGCTCCCGAGTCATGTGACTCCTCCGGCCAGCAGGGGGCGACGGAGGACGGCGGTGACGCACAGACAGCAGCGGTCAGACCGGTGAAGACCGACCCCGGGAAAGTGCCAAAATGGCTCAAACTGCCAGGTGTGTTCAGGAGCTTATTGCATATTTCCTCATATGTTTGATTTCAGACGAACACCACTAGAGAGCGCACTGACACTGCTGTCTCTTCTGCTCACCAAGGCTGCATTTATTTGATTAAAAAAACAGTAAAAACAGTAATATTGTGAAATATGACTGCAATTTAAAATAACTGTTTTGCATGTGATGTACTTTATTCATATTTATATCGCAATTCTCACTTTACATCTCATTATATTGTCTTTTTATTTTGAAATTCTGAATTTATCTCAGTTCTGACTTTATATTTCGAAATCTGACTTTATATTGAAATTCTGAATTTGTTTTGCAATTCTGACTTTTTATTGAAATTCCGACTTTATATTTAGAAATCTGACTTTATATTGAAATTCTGACTTTAAATCTCGCAATTCTGACTTTATATTGAAATTCTAACTTTATTTTAAAATTCTGACTTTATTTTTTGAAATTCTGACTTTATAATTCGCAATTCTGATTTTATATCCAAATTCTGACTATATATTGAAGTTCTGACTTTATATCTTGAAATTCTGAATTTATCTCAGTTCTGACTTTATATTTCAAAATCTGACTTTATATTGAAATTCTGAATTTATGTTTTGCAATTCTGACTTTATATTGAAATTCTAACTTTATTTTAAAATTCTGACTATCTCAATTCTGTCTTTATATTGAAATTCTGACTTTATTTCAAAATTCTGACTTTATTTTTTTTAATTCTGACTTTATAATTCGCAATTCTGATTTTATATCCAAATTCTGACTATATTTTCCAGTTCTGACTTTATATCTTGAAATTCTGAATTTATCTCAGTTCTGACTTTATATTTCGAAATCTGACTTTATATTGAAATTCCGACTTTATATTTTGAAATTCTGACTTCATATTATGCAATTCTGACTTTTTTCTAAGGATAGCGAGAAAAAAAGTCTGAATTGTGTGACAAGTTGCAATTATCTTTTTTTATTTTTCTATCCCATGGCAAAAACGTGCTTCCATAGTTTAATATAGGAAATATATGTTGAAATAAATATTACGTTTTTCTAATTTTTTAACTTTTGTTGTTGTCTACTGTATGTTTTCAGGTAAGAAGTGAGGTTTGATCGATGCAGGAGGACGGAAGCGTTCAGATTCCCATCATTCAGTAGTTCAATAGATTGACTGTAATTCATGCAAACCTTCATCAAATAAATACACGATGATAACTGCCAATTGAGTTCTTCTCTTTATTTCTGACATCATCTGTTCCTGATGATAATTCTGAAATAAAAGTTAATAAAAACTGCATAGACATATTTAAAAGAAAAAGAAAAACTAATAAAATTGGAGGGGGGATGCAAAACAAAATTACTAAAACATAAACTAAAATTACAATGAAAAGGAAAATATACCCACAACACACCCCAGACACAGGTGAAAGCCATCTGGCCTGCACTGAACATAGACTTCAGCTTTATTACTGTTAACTCAAACTATTAAACACCATTTTCATTCTTTGAAATAAAATAAAATACAAATATTAGATTAAAATGAGAAATGTTGCCTTGGCAACTGACTGAAATTAAATTTGTTCATATACTAAAATTGCTAAAACTAATATAAGTACTGAAATAAAAATTAAAGTTAAATATTTTTTTTAAATAAAAATAATAAAGTTATGATATTAAATTATGAAAACAATAAAAATGTAACGAAATTTCTAAAACAAAATATAAAAATAAAAGCTATTCATTATGTTTATATTTTGTTTATATATGTTTTTTTTTTTTATTATTTTTTAATACTCAAAGAAATTATTTTTAAAGCATTTAAGCTAAGGGACCTTCACCAGGGGGGTTGAAAATTATTTATTTATTTATTTGTTTGTTTCGTACTTTCTTTATTTTTTATTTATTATAAAAATATAAAAGCAAGTCAATTTCAACCGAAGCTACAGATACTAAAGTTCAACTAAAGATCTCTCCCACATTAAAATGCATTATTTAGTCAGTGGTGCTATTGTTATCGAAAACTAAAAATATTAAAAATAATTTAATTAAATAAAATAAAACTGAAAAAATATATAAATATTAGATGGAAAACCTAAAATGATTAGAAATGTTTGCTTGGCAACTAACTGAAATAAAATAAGTGAAAGTACTAAAATTACTTAAAGTAATTTTAAAATAAAAGTAAGGCAAAAATAAAAATGACAAAAGCACGTAGCAAAATTCAACAAAAACTCAAACTACAATTAAAATGAAACTGAAAATATAAAAATTAAAGCTAATTAAAAAAATTTATAAATACTATTATAGTATATAAATAACACTGATGAAAGTTTAAAATGTGCTTTGGGTTTGAATGAACTTTTAAGTCAAAATGAAGTCATAATAAAAGACTCTGTTTGCTTTCTTAATGTGTGTTTCTTTTCTTATTGTGAATAATTCATTAGTGCACCATACTACAAAATCATTAAAAAATATCGAAAACTAAAAATATTAAAAATAATTTCATTAAATAAAATAAAACTGAAAAAATATATAAATATTAGATGGAAAACCTAAAATGATTAGAAATGTTTGCTTGGCAACTAACTGAAATAAAATAAGTGAAAGTACTAAAATTACTTAAAGTAATTTTAAAATAAAAGTAAGGTAAAAATAAAAATGACAAGCACGTAGCAAAATTCAACAAAAACTCAAACTACAATTAAAATGAAACTGAAAATATAAAAATTAAAGCTAATTTAAAAA